CAATTTTTTGTTTCTTCCTTCGGAAACAAGTTTTAGACCATTTTCATTTACTTTCTTGGACGTTTCAACACTGTTCACAACAACATCATGAGTCTTTCCACTGTCATTTGCAGCACCAGAGTCATTATCTGGGAACTGTGTGAGGGTACATTGTAAGTTGCAGCCACAGGAGTTTGCTGTTGATGATTTTTCTTGGTATGGGTGAAAGTTAAACCACTCCTGCGCTTTCGCTTAAGCGTTGACTGACTTTTCCCTGCTTTCAAACTTCAAATCCAATAAAACATCGAAACAACAAAGAAAAAATGTCACAACTAGGCATGCATACATACATTATAAGTATCCTCAAACAATAATAACATTCATTACACTAGTAACATTGATAAAACAAAGTCAAAACAGAAACAATAACTAAACCTTTCTTCAAATGCATCAATGACATCTGAACATTGCAGTAGATTATCCAGAGGCTCCCTTGTATTTTCCGCCTCCGACCTGCCTCGCCTTTCCAAAAACATCCGTTTCATTAATGAACACAAAATCAATTTCGGGACATTTAAACAATAACATACTGTTATTCTCTCCAAATTTCACATCATACGGTATATGCATATTGATTTCTTTCTGGATTACATACCATTTAATCAGATACTGCACTTTGCCCTGTATTATCGCCGCATTCCAAAGAACCCACAAAAATAAGAGAGAGCCACAAATCAATAAATCATCATAAATAAAAGTAAATTTCAACAAACCTTACCCATTAGTCCTTCATTTCTTACTCCAAGTAGACAAACAAAACTAACAACAAGAACAATACGGAGAGACCACAGTGGGATGATTATATACCTTAGGAAGTGCTTGCTGCGCACAGATTCAATCAAATAGTACCCATCAGCTAGCTTCCGCCTCTCTGCCTCCACCTCGAGTTCTTCGTTCGAGTTTTCCAACTGCTGATAATCTTCCTCTTTTCCTTCTCCTTCAAAAGCAGCTTCAGTAGCTTCAAATCTCTTACTTTCCTCTGGATATTTCACCACCCCCACCACCATATCGTCGCGACCATCGACGGTCTTGGCGAAGGCAGAGCGTGGAATTCGAGGTTTTTGGGGGTTTGCCTTTTCCAGTTACTCCAGTTATCCCACATCGGACCTTTAGTAAGGAATACACTCCTTCATAAGGTAAATCCTAAGGATGGAGGTTGTGTTCATAGAAAGGAGAGATGGTTGGCATCTCCCCCGACAGGGACGGGAACGGCCTTCGGGCTTTACCTGTTACCATACACATCCGGTTAAGGCTACCCACTTCGGTGGTTCTCTAACCCAATTTTCTTTTTTTAATGAGAGTAGCAATAAAAGGACCTTTGACCCGGTTGAAAGAGGCCAAATTTTATATTTAAAAAAGGGTAATTATATTACCATCACTTAATTTACTTACTGCACCCCAATTAATTTTTTTTTTAATAGATACATCACAATAAATTTACAACTATACTCCTAATCAAATAAATCTTAAAAAAATATAATCGAGATTTGTTGCGATTTGACCATGTCTCTCAATTTTGATAGGATTCCCATTTTCCACCGTTTTGGTTATAGAATCATTTTATTGTTTGTTGATATATTGCATTGTTATTGGTGAATTGAAAGAGCAACCGAGTTCAAATTGTTGTGTTGCCATTCGTACAGTCACAAGAGTTGTTTGCGGATGTCTGCAAAATCGAATAATTGGCTTGAAGAAGACTAAGCCACTGTTTGGCTCTCATTATTTTGCATTTTTTATGATTGAAAATTTTTGGAATAGTAATTGATGGGAGAATGTGTGGTGGAAGTAATGAAAAGTTTTAGATTTGTGTGTAATGTTATTTTATTTAATGCATGTGTGGTTGTAATGAAGATAGAGAAAAATTTAATGTAATGTAATTTATCTTAATGGGGGCCAAACAGGGGCTAAAATGTAAAAGAACGTGATTGTGATGTATCCTTATAAAAATGTTAATGTTAAGAATTTATATAAAACTGTGGATATTAAGTAATTCTACTTAAGGTGATTTTAAGTAAATAAAAAATTGATTAAAATTGTGGTGTAACAAGTAAATTTTTATAATTACCCTTTAAAAAAATATGAACAAAATATTAGTATTGCTATTTCCTCTTTTACCCTTCAAAACCTATCAAATAAATCATCTCCATAGTGCTCTTCCTCGTGTTCTCCCGATTCTTCCCATCTCTTCTCTTAGAAAATCAAACTATTCCAAAGCTAAGCATTTATAAAAATCAAATAGAAGAAATCCCAAGTCAAAATAATTTTCTCCTCATATTACAATTGAGTAGGGATTTACATCCTTGAGGAGAAGAAATCCGATATCATAAGCGCTTGTTTGTTGTCAAAAAAAAAAAAAAAAAATCTGTGTTGCTTCATTCCTTTCACTTTGAGATAAATTATATCTACGTTCTTCACTTTCAAGAAGCTAATATGGGTTTCTAATATTGGTTTTATAAAATTTGCTTTTTTATGGTTTAAGTTTCTTTTGCATTTTTATTTTTCTTTCCCCTAATTGGATTCTTGTAATTGACAGACCTAAATTTGCTCATTGACAATTATACAATGTTAATGGGTTATTTGATTGGTTTTATATTTCATTTATGGCTGCAAAGTTAAACTAGTTGCTTTTATATGGGTATGAAACTTGATAATGAGGAAATTATGGAATTTAATTCTTATGTTTTGGTTGGATATGTCGTGACATAATTTTTCAAGTGAATGCAGTAAAATTAAAATTTTGCTATCAGCCATTTTTCAATAATGGAACCATCATGGTGTTTTCTTGACTACTGATTTAAACTTGATTGGCTAATGACTTCGTTTTCTTGTTACAACTGAAATGAATATGATCGTTTTAAACGACTGTAGTCGTTTTAAGAGAAAAAAGTCTGCAGTATTTTAAACGTCATGAGTCGTTTTTCATTCATCATTTGTTATATGTAATAAAAGAACATGAAAAAAAATGTCCAGCATTCATAAAGCACAAAATAAGTATGAATCACGACAAAAACTCACAACATAGAGCATACATTGTAATATACATGAGATCGTGCTCCACTACACATTGTTCAAGTATACCACATTCGATTTTTAGGTATACGACTTACAATTGATTTCGATAAATTAAAATGAAAGAGCCAATTGAACTTATAACCTTTTAAAATGTGTTTGATTTCTACATATTTCGTTAAAAATGTATAGGAAGACGAACTTTGTTATATACAACTCATCGTGCTCAACTATACAATATTCAAATATATATCTTACATTTGATTTTGATAAGTTAAAACATCATTTATAATGAAAGATGTACCAATCAAATTTTTAACCTTTTAGACCGTGTTTGATTTCAACCTACTTTGTTTAAAAATGTATAGGAATGTGAACTTCATCATCATGTTCCACTACACACTGTTCAAGTATATTATATTCAATTTTTATGTATATGACTTATAATTTGATTTTGATAAATTAAATCATCATGTATAATGAATGAGATATCTATCTAACTTCTAAACTTTCAAATTGTGTTGGATTTCAACCTATTCCATTTAAAAACGCATAGGAAGACGAATGTCATTCTATACAATTCATCGTGCTTCACTGCACACAATTCAAGTACATCATATTCGATTTTTAAATATATGACTTACAATTGATTTTGAATAAGTTAAACCATCATTTATAATGAAAGACAAGATGTCTTTCAATTTTCTAACATTTTAGTATATGCTTGATTTCAACCTATTTCGTTTAAAAACATATAGGAAGGGGAACTCCATGATTGTACTCCACTACACATTGATCAAGTATATCATATCGGTTTTTAAGCATACGGCTTTCAGTTGGTTTCGGAAAGTTCATGTATAATGAAAGACGATAGTGTAATTAAATATGTAACATTTTAGACCGTATATGAAATTCAATCTATTTTGTTTTAAAACGTATTAGAAGATGAAGTTCGTTATATGCAATTCATCCAGTTCATCGTACTCCACTGCACATTGTTTAAGTATATTGTTTTCGATTTTAAGTACATGACTTACAATTAATTTTGAATAAGTTAAACTATTACGTATAATAAAAGGCGAGATATCTTTCATACTCAAAAATGATAAATGATAAATGACTGCAGTCATTTAAAATGATTGAAGTTATTTTTCTTTTTTAAAAAAAGTTTCTAATTGTGATCTAAATGGATTTTCTGTTTACCAAGGGTTGGCTGAGAATATGCAAATCACAACTAGAGGCTTTTATGAAATGAAAACGACTCTAGTCTTTTTATATGACCGCAATCATTTTACGCATAAAACAATTATAGTCGTTTAAAACAACTAGAGTCGTTTTAACACAAAAGAGGCCTTAAAAAATTATTTGGAGTAAGTTAGGCCTCAAAAAATTCTGAAGGATTTGATTAAGCCTTTTGAAAAAATTCCCCTTTTTGTTTTCTCTTTTTTTTTTTCAACTCTAAGACGAATTTTGATCAATCTAGAATCTAAAGACCGAGACCATGGGTTGACTGCAACAACAAACCTTAGGAATAATATTTTTTTTTTAGTTTTAATTAAGAAAATATAATTTTCAAATTTATTTATTCCCTTCGTATTATATTGTATGGTTGATAATGTATGAAATTATTTGATCAAATAATCAAAGAATATTTTCTACTTCAATCTATAAAAAATACCATTAGTCCAGTATTTAATTATTATAACTTTATTCTATATTTCTTTTACTGGATAAATGCCAAAAGGAAACTATAAGGTTTTGCTATTTGTACAATTTTTATTTCGTTAGACATCTACAAAATACACTTTTCAATTATATATTTAGTCCCTATTTGGTGTAGATTAAAATCAGTTTTTTAGTAAATTTTGATAAAAGTTAATGAAATGTATCACTAAAAAATTGTGGATCTAATTAAATGTGTTTTTAATATTAATTATTGACTTTCACTTGAAATTTTTATTAACTTTTAATCTACACTAGACGTGAACTAAATATCCTATTGTCGTCGACTTAGGCATTCGAGGGGCACGGAGAAATACCCATATTTCAGTTATCAGCGGGGAGGAAAGAATAGCGATACCAATTTTTGGCCATAACAATTTTCATATTACACATGAATTTATAAGATTAGAGCATTTTCCAGTTACAAGTATCCATATGAGAGTGCTCAAATTTATTCACAATTCATTACAGTAAGAGCATTCAGAAGCTGAAGGCAACAAGTAAAAAGGTTTCTTTCTTGGTATCCAAATCCCAACAATTGATAAGAAAGTTTTACATTGTATTCATCACAAATGAAAACCTGCCACCTAAGCTAACCACCAATTTGGCCAGGTAGGATTTTCATGTCTGGTGACTGTGAGTTGGATATTGACATCAGCTTAGACCTATATTTCTCGTCTCCATCGTGTTTGAGAGGTTGGACAACTTTCTGATTGTCCAATTCTTTAGGTGACTGTTCACTGATGAGCTCTGTCTCCGATAGTCGGTAAGAGATAGCAATCAATGACTCGCGAGTCACATCTTCGGAAACCTCCTTGCAGGCTTCTTTCTTATCCATAAAATGATGATCTTTGTCATAGAAAAGAAAGTCGTAAAATAGTATTTAAAATAACCTATTTATTCGAGCCCAACTTAGATACAAATTCGATATTACATATTGACAGTTACTCACCATAAAAAGTTGATTTACATAGTCAGTTTATGAGCATGTTGGGCAAAGCTTAAAATCTAATTAAAATTAAAAATATAGTCGTTATTGGGTCTCACTCATCTAATAAAAGTCAACAATAACGGCTAGTTTTTCAATTTTAATCTTATTTTAATCCCTACCGAACATGCCCTATACTTAGTTAACAAAAGAGAAATGAAAAATGGGCGTTGAATTCTTGACAGCATGATGGGCAATCTGAGTTCATAGTTCTGATGAAGGATTCTCTGATATCAATATCAGCCAAATAATTATTCTTCTTCTTATTTTTTACCCTAATTGTATTCA